CCCCCGGCCAATGCCGATTTATGTGTGCGACATACATACAGGTCTTTCGTGTAGTTGATTTCGTCCCCCACTGTCTTTTTCTTCTTGATGAGTCCGTTCATCTGGTCCACAATGATTTTGTTCTTGCCCAGCCACTTCTGCAGGTCCATGCTCGCCATCTGCGTCTGGCTCGGCAGCTCGCCGTGCTCGCTCCCATTCAACTTGATCTCACCCACCCTCTCCAGACCGGGGGGCGGCTTCGGAACCTCACTAGCCTTCTGCAGCGTCTCGTCCGTGTGCTTGACCTGCTCGGCCAGCTCCTTATCGGCCTGCTCAGCGGCCTTCTTGGTGGCATTTGCTGCTGGTCCTGTGGGAGCGGCTGTTTGTCCTGGTGGTGGTGGTTGGGGGGGCTCTGGTGCTGCCGTGGCTGGTGTGGGCGGCGTTGTGGGGGCGGCGGCTCCTGTGCCTTCTTTGTTGCCGGCTGGTATTGCGGCTGCCGGTGGTGTCTCCGGCTCTTTCTTCTCCCCATCCTTGTTTTCAGCAGGCTTCTTCTCAGCTGATGGCTTTCCACTCTCTTTGGACTCTTTCTTCTCTGGCTCGTTCTCGGCTGTAGGGGATTTGTCAGCACCAGCCGGGGCGGCGGCCCCTTGGCCCTTGTCCTTCTCCTTCTCCCCAGCGGCCTCCTTGACTTCCTCTGGTGTCAGGGACGTAACCTGCGGCAGCTCTGGAGGCAGTGTTTGGTCATTGAGGCCCTGCGGGTCGGTCTGCTTGTCCAGCGGCGCCTCGGGCGCTGTTTTTGCTGCTGCTGGCTGTGCTGCTGGTGGCTGTGGCGGGGTTCCTGGGGCAGCTCCAGGGGCGGCGGTAGCGGGAGGGACAGGGGTAGCGGGCTTGCCCTCGTCGGGCTTCTTCTCCACCTCTTTTGCTGCTGGTACTGGTGCTGGCGGCTCCTTGGGATGTTCGGCAGGTGGTGGGTTGATTGTTATCCACTCGCCGCCCTGCTGCTTCTCAGCTGGCACCGGGGCATTGGCCGGTGGCAGCTGCTGCCCTGGCTGGCTGGCTGCTGGTGCTGGTGGTTGTGCTGCCGGGGAAGAAGGAGAGGCTTGTGGAGGTTGGCCGGGTGGCTGGTTCGGCGGTGGCTGCTGTGGTTTTGGATTTGCTTTGGGGTCGACTGGCGGTTTGCCTGATGATGATGCAGAAGAATTAGACAGACAGGCAGGTAGCTATGCGCCCCTCATGTGTGCGCCTTCACCTGCATCGGTGGGCTGTGGGTTGGGGGCTGGGGCTGCCTGAGGCTGGGGCTGGGGAGGATTGGGCAGCGGCGCCTTCTCGTCGCCTTGCGCCTCCTGAACGAACACCATGCAAGCCAGCCAGCCGCACACACAGCATTGCGCTATTCATTATACGGGAGCTTGTAGCCAGCCAGCCGCTTACCTCTTCCATGGTCATGACCTTCTCGTCATCGCCGACCTGTTTGCTACGGTGTGTCCGCAGCAGACCGGTGGACGAACCTGAAACCAACAGCCATGGAGGCACATTGCGGTTCAGCATGGTTCAGCTTCTACCTACCCGCTGGTCTGGCGAGCGTCTGTGGCGGCAGCTGTCTATCAAGATGACCAACAGTGGGAAAGAGCCGTCTCACCTGCATCGCACCGCCACAGGATGGATGCAGTAATACCGCCATCATTGCGAACTCACAGCACAAGAGAATGCATCCCGTCCGTCTGCAGATGATTGAACTCACCTCTCTGTCCCTGGCCGCCGTCATGGGCGCGGTGCGCCCCCTGGTCTCCACCAGCCCCAAAGGTCTCACATCATCCACGAGCACATCCTCGCCTTGAAGTTCTCTCTCTCTCTCTTCATCTGCACTGACATCCTCCTCAACATCCGATTCGGCCGCGTCATCGGACGTCGCGGCCTGCCAGTCGTGAAAGTCGTCGAATAGAGCGTCAGAGAGAGCCTTGGGCGGGCTATGCCTTCTCAGCTCTTTGTGTTGCGGTTGGAGAGCGCAGCGGCGGATCCCTTGAGGCATGATCTTGCGAAGGAGCGGGAGATGACGCAGCCCAGGACCAGAAGATACACCGTCGCTAAGAGCGCCATTGCAGGACTAACCACTTCAGGGAGCTGTCAGGGAGTTTGGCACTTGTGTGGTTGGTAGATGGGGCGGGTGGGGGAGTGATGAAGACGAACGATGAAGGGATGGCTGCAGCAATGGGGAGTGGTTAAGATGAGCACTGAACAGGCTAGGAACCCTTAAAGTGAGGACCAATGGCGGCTACTGGCGTCGTAATCCCACGCATGAGCTGCAGCTGAAGCGCGGCAGCGGTCCGGCAGCGTCATCTGCCAGCCCCGCGATCTACTGGGGGCCCTTTCAACGTCTCAACCGCAGTCTCCCTTGCATCATGAGAAAGCCTCCACACGACACCCCCTGAACCGACGGCGGCCAAGATGGTTGCGCAGCCGCTCCTGTCTTTCGTGGCGGTGCTGATCTCCGTCCTCCCCTCTCTCTCCCCTGGCCCACCACGGCAGCTTACACTCACAGTACAGGCCACCCGAACGCGGGACAGGGCATCGATTGGCGCGCCCTTCCTGGGCTTCCACCCGCTGTCCTTCCTGTCCTCGTGGGCGCTGAGGACACGCCGCAGGCCAGAGAGGAGGAACTCACTCGCACCTACTCCATTGTCGTTCGTGAGAGCCAGCCCGGATCTCAAGAACGTGTCGCAGCCAACGGTAGGAGGGGCCTCTGCAGGCAGGCACATAAGCATATGCGGGCTCTCTGTGTGATTCTGGGTGATTGCTTTGTCAGGCTGGGGCTTCTGAGAAGGGCGAGGCGGCGACTAACAAAGAGACGAAGCCGGCAGATGCAACCAAGCCGGTCAGATGAGATGGAACGTCTTGTGGTTATGTTCTTCGCTGTGCCTCTGTGTTACCGATACGTCAGGCGGCGGCGAGCAAGGAGACGAAGCCGGCTGAAGGCGAGAAGCCTCCGGTAATCAACCCTCCCTCTGAAATCCCTCCTGTCGGTCAGGGCAAGGAGCCCACCCCTCAAGCCACTGAATCAGCCACTAGCCCTGCGGCCATCCAACCAGAAGCACCCCAACTACCCAAACCATCCCAGCCACAACCACAACCACAGCCACAACCACAACAGCCGACCAATGCCAGTGCGTCAGCCCCACCCCCAGTGGTCAACAGGACAGTGCAGGCCATGAGCTACCAGGAGACGGAGCCCTACGCCGAGGAGGAGCCCTACTTCTACGAGAACAGGGACCCCAGCACGCTCTACCGTCGCGAGATCCCCGAGAACGTGCCGCCTCACGTCCAGGATGGCGGGCTGCTGCTGCCGCGGCCCGTGAGCACTGCGTTTGACCCCGGGACGCCTGACCGGTTCAAGACGAGCTACATTCGGTTGTCGGACAGCCGACATTTGATGCGGAGTATAGAGCGTGAGCTGGACAACACAATGGCCTCCATCCGTGTGGTGGAGCACATCTCGGATCAGCTGCAGAAGTGAGTGAGTGAGTGCAGTGAGCCGGACCAGGGAGGGGTGTGGGGTATGAGAGCCTCTCATTGTTGTGTCTCTGTGTTATGCAGGGCCACGGAGGAGATGCAGGCCGACGTTAAGCATGACATCCACGCTAAGTAAGAGGCAGGCAAGGCAGCACAGACATTGCAATGACCATCTGTGTCTCCATTTCTGCTCTCATTTGTTCTTTCAGGACGGCGGTCTTCGAGGGGGCGTCGAAGGTAGGTTAGAGGCAGAGTGAATGAGTCCATCTCAGGTGTGTGTTTGTTGTGTCTGGTCTCTACTGGATGGATCATGTGCAGGTTGAGGAGGGCATCAAAGAGGCGACGGATAAGTTCTCCAAGACGGCCGAGGACTTGGGACACACTTAATGATTGTCTGAAGCTGATGGAATCATGTGTGTGCACCATCAGTCCCTGACTGTGTGTCCTTCGCTGCATGGCATGGGCTGCCATTGGATCATAGCTCCTTGAGACTTGGACAGAGTTATGTATAGAGCATGAGCCTTGGACTATGTATAACACGCACACGCACAGATGAAATCGTCTTAATTATCTGACAGCCACTGCCTCCCCCTCCCGCCCCGCCCCCATGTCCATTTCCTTCGACGCCGCCTTGCGCAAAGCCTCAATTGTCGACAGATAGGGCACAGCGTCAGCCCTTGCACTGGCGTCCTCCGCCTGCTGCTCTATCGACACCTCATCCTTCATCCTCCTGCGGCCTCGGTCTTGCCTCGGTGGGCTCTTGGACCTCTCGCGGGCCTTCTGGATGGATCTCTGCTTGACAGTGTCGGCGTAGGGCTGCAGCGAGGCCAGCTTCTCTTTGAGGTGCTCCTCTGTGGCCTTTTGCTCGTTGTGGGCGGCTTGGATGGAGGACCGTAGGGTCGCCTGCAGGCAGACGCGACGCGACACGACGCGACATGGCGGGAGTAATTAATGCATGAACACACGACACGAAAGGGAGGGGAGGGGCTTGCCTTGAGTATTTCGTCCTGTCTTCGCATGTCCTCCATCTTGTGGGTGTAGGCGTCCTGGCAGGCACAGAGAGAGAGAGACGTGCAATGCAATGCAATTCGTGTGTGCGCGGCTTCTGGGTGGTTGGCTCTCTCCTCCTCAGATCAGATGCGTTCGTACCTGTATGTCTTTGTGCGCCCTCATGTCGGCCTCCCGTGTCTGCATCCGCAGCGTGTGGTCCTTGGCGCGCACCGACTCGACCATGGCCTGCATCACGTCACGCACACAGTGCAGTGCACACCACGCACACACTCGCACAGCGCCGGTGTGTCGTTTGCAGGCACGGTCCGGCTGATGCTTGCTCGGCTGAGACCTGGTTGATGAGTGCCCTCTGTTGCCTTTGTCGGGCCTCCCTCGCAGCGCCTTTCACCTGCTCCTCATGGACTGACACACACACATCCACAGTGCAGAGAGAGCCTCACGCACTCAGTTGGTTGAGTCAGTTAGCCACCCTTCGCTTCGACGGCCTCTCGGCTGGCGCCCAGGAACTCCCTCTTCTTGGCGATTTCCCTCAGCTCTGTCGCCAGCTTCTCCTGCTGCGCCTTCTGCTCCTCACGCTTGTCAAATATCTTCTTCTGCGCCGCAACCACAGCCTGCTCATGGCGCTCCTGCTCGCGGATCCGCTCCCTCTCCCTCTCTGCCCTCTCTTCTGTCTTGCGCTGGGTGGCCTCCTGCAGGGCCAGCGCCCTGACACGCGAGAGGCTCTGGGCCTTCTGGAGGATCTGCTCGGCCTTGTCCTGCTTCTCGCGGACGTTGGCCTCGCGCCTCTCTTTGACGAGCTCCTCGTCTCTCGCCTTCATGAGGGCTAAACGCTCCCTCAATTCGACCAGAGACATCTGGTCGAGAAGACCTGGGAAGGAGACACGACGCGCAGAGCGGGTGCGACTGGCGCGTGCGTGTGGGGGTGGGTTGTTAGTGACCGTGGTCTGATGCGGCAGTGGGGTCGAATGGCTTTGTTTGTACGACGGAGACCCTCTCGATGGCGCGGATCTTGCGGATGACGTCGTTGCGCTGCTCGCGCTCACGCTGCTCCTCCCTGACAGAGAGACAGACAGACAGTGCAAAGCGTGCGCGTGTGATGGTCTGCCTACTTTTGTTTCCGCTCCCACTCCTCCCTCCTCTCCCTCTTGGCACGCTCGGCATCGCTGGCCTTGGCAGCTGCCACCTAACGAGAAGAAGAGACACACACATCCATGTTTGTACGCAGACCGACAAGTATGGCATCTTCCCATGCACTCACGCACTCACTCACCTTCCTCTCGGCCATGCGTGGCCTGTCCCTCTGCTCATGGATAGACCTGGCCACGGATTGGCGGGCCTGCAGGACCGAGTTGAGGAACCTCTCCCGCCTGATGGCGTCGATCTTGGACTGCTCCCGCATCTTGGCCGCCCCCAGCTCGTTCATTCGCCGCTGGTTCTCCGCTGCCTCGATGGCGTTCTCCCGTGAGAGGTGCATCTCCACCTTCCTCTGCTCGATGCGGGTCTTGCGGGCCTCCGCGTCCTTGGCGCGCGACTCAGCCTGCCACCTGTAGAACTCACTCGAGTCGCGGAGGTCCTCTGCGTAGCGTTTCAGTATGTCCACCTCCTTCTCCTGTAAATATTTGCGGGTGGGTGCGGTGCGCAGAAAGAGTGAGGGTGTCTGTCTGCTGCGGGTGGGGTGCGTGGTGGATGTGATGTGTCATGGGCAGTACCTTTTTCTTTGCGTAGAGTGCGTCGGCTCGGAGGATGGCGGCCGTGTTGAGCCGCACCTCGGCCTCACCAAACTCGGGCACCTCACCCCCTACCTTAGCTGCACACACACAGACATCGTGTCTCCTGCTTGCTTGTGCCCCTCACACCCTCTTTGTGTGTGTTGTGTTGTGTCTCACGTGCAAAGGTCAGCTCTGCGTTGCGTTCCTTCTCCACCTCCTCCCTGATCCGCTCCTTATCGCTTGGCCGCTCCATCGTCTGCAGCCCGGGTGGATTGCACAAGGCGGGCTTCTCCGCCTCCCCTTCTCCCGCCATCTGCCCTTCAGGCGGCTGCCGCAGGTATTTCTGCAGCGTCTTCTTGCCCACTTCTACTCGCCGCGTCTTGGCTTTCCTCATGATTTTCTGCAGCGACGTCCTCTTGAGCACCTTCTCGTTCACAGGGTTGGCTTTCACCTCTCTCGACACTGGAAATGGTGCGGGAAGAAGCCGGGGTTTCGGCTTTGAGAGGTTGAAAGGGACCGCCTCGGTTGGCGGGATGGGCGGTGGTCGCGGCAGCCCGCCCTGGGCCTCCTCGCCCTGCGCCTCTGCCTCTGCCTGCTCCACCTGTGTGGCCTGCTCGGCCAGCTCCTCGAGCAGCGGGATGAACTTGGGTTTCCGCCTCTGCAGCCCGCCGATGATGTCGTCCTCGATGTACTTGAGGTCGTATATCCTCGCCCACTCCCGCTTGACCCAATCGTTGAGCTCCTCTGCGTTGAAGAGGAACTGCAGGAGGCAGTGCATGGCTGGGGGGTGCTGCGGGCGGATGATGTTGGCCAGCTCCCGAGGGCCGAGTTCGTCGGAGCGGAAGATGGTGAGGTATGAGACGATTTTGTAGAGGGTTGAGTCGGCCTTGGCGGTGCCGGCGGTGTGCTTGACCAGGAGGGCCTCCACCAGGATGGACAGAAATGGCATGTAACGCAACACGCCGTAGAAGATCTGAGAGAGACTGCATGATCGCATGACGCCACACGACAGCAGCAGGGCAACGATGCACGTGTCTTCGGCAGTGGGTGCGTGTCTGCTCCTTTTCTTAATACGTATGTGTGGGGCTCACTCACAATGTTTTCTCCTCTTCCTGTTCCTCGGGCGGCGCTCTCTGCCCTCTCTTTCTGCTGTCCATAAAGCGGTCCATCCAGGATGCCGGCGTCTCCTTTTTGGCGTCATATCCCTCGATGAGCTTCCTGCAGGACGTCATGAGCCCCTTGTACACGGCGGCCTCCTCCTGCCTGCGTCTCTCGGCCTCTCGGGCGGTGGTGGAGGCTGCCGTCCCGCTGGGGGGCGGCTCACGACTCATGTGCGACTGGGCATCCATCGGGAGAAGCTGTGGCACAAAACAGAAAAGCGAGAAAAGCGAGCTAAGCTTGCAGACGGGGGATCGCTTCCCTGGGGCTTCAATCTCATCCATCCGTCCAAGCGTCCGTCCGTCTGTCTGTCTGTCTGATCGATCCATCATCATGGGGCGCCACTGGCTTCAAAAACAGGAATGTAGCGAGTGAGTATGCAGGCCATCTCATAGATGGATGGATGGACGGATGGATGGATGGAGGTATGCAGCACGCCGCACCAAATAAAGGAAAGGAAGATAGGCAGACAGTCAGTCAGACAGACAGATATGTCACTTACTGTTGTTATCATACAGGCTGTCTCACTCACTCACGCGTTCATGTCACGGACCGTCAACACCCGTACTCACACACACACACACACACAAAAGGACACGCAAAAGGACACACAGACAGCCATCATTGTCTCATCCCCCCACCCCGTGTGTGTGCGTGTGTGCATGTGTGTTTGCAGTCCGTCGGTCAGAATGCCGCCATGCCGGCTGACAGCGATGCCCCCGGGACGGACCTCTGCCGCTGCAGACGCACAACCTGCATCGCCACGAGAGAGAGCAAGGCATCCATCACATCACCTGCCTGTCCGCACACACCCTCCCTCCCTCAGGCTTCCTTTGGTCACCTTTGCTTTGAGCTGGCGGATCATGAAGGCCTCGCGGCTGGTCTCACGCACACTCTGAGCAGAGAGGCAAACCACGCACAAACGGGGCAATCCAGTGTCTGTTTGGGCGTTTGGCGTCCATGAGCTGGCTGACCTGCAGGAAGTCGGCGAGGTTGATGATGCGGTCCTTGAGTGCCTCGTCCAGTTTGTCCAGCATGTCCTCCTGAGACGCCACGTCGGCCGACAACTCCATTATCCTACGCAAATCAAATCAACACACAGAAAGACCGACAGGAACGAAATACACCGCAGGCTGTGGCTGTGGCAGTGGCAGTGGGCGGCACTGACTGTTTGGAGAGGGCATTGCTGGGCTCGACAATCTCATCCGCCACAAACTGCACACACCAACAAAGGCAGGCGACTCTCTCTCTCTCTCTCTCTGTGGGCCCTCCCTATGTTCGCTCTAGTTTATGGTTTACATACCTTTCTGTGTTTCTCGGCTTCCATGAATGTGTTGACGGCCTGGTGCGTGGCGTCCAGCGCCTCCATGTCACGATCGATGGACGCCTGACAGACGGACGAGTCGACGGCACACAGATTGCATTGCCCGTGTCGGTCGGTCGGTGTATTATGCGGTCAATCGGTGTTTCTCTCTCACCGATTCCTCCTGCAACTGCGCCAAGTGAACCCCTATCCTCCTCCCAAAAGACTCCCTCTGATCCTGAACCCAAACAACACAACACACACAAGCTCCGGTGAAGACGACACACGTACCCCCCTGCCGTGTTCAGTTCACACGTACGCACCTGCATGTCGAGCTGCTCATCCAGCCGCGATATGATCGGCTGCACCACCCTCGGCCACCTCTCCTTCACTGCATTTGGACAGCGACAGTACAGAAAGGAACACAGACATCCCCATGCCCTTTGCTCGCCCGCCCGCCCATCGATCGACCCCCGGACTGACCTTGTTTCTCGACGTCTTCCCTCAGTATGTCCTCCCTGGACCGTGCCGGCTGTGAGGGCTGGGCAGCAGATGCGCCAGACGAGGGCAGCACAGAGGGGCGGCCGGGGGAGGCGGTGGACGAGGAGGGCTGCTGGGAGGGGGACCCACCGCTGCCCGCCGGCTGGCCGCCCTGGGCAGCCATGCCCAAATTAGACATCACGAAACCAGACGCTGGCACAGCACAACACACAGACACGGAAGCGATAAGCAGGATGTCAATATGTGTGTGTGGTTGTGTGTGTGATTGTCGCGAACCTTTGTTGAAGAGCGAATTGACAATCCCACCAATTCTGCCATCCCTGAATGGGGGAAAAGAACAAACAAAAACTCCTTCGGGTGTCCCCCGATTCAGGCCCATGTGCGTACGGTGGCTGCGATGCCGATCCGCCAGCGGCGGCGGCGGCCGAAGGTCGGTGTTCGGTCGACGATGACGACGACGACGAGGCGCTCGTCTGGGCCGAGGCCGGCTTGGAATACACCGGCGGGTCAGTGCTGAACGTCGAACTGATGATCGTCATCAACTCAGTCTGACCGACACACAGAAAGAGAGCCGCACATGACCCACATCACATTCACATGTGTGTATCTCTCTGTGTGTGCGTGCCCCTCCCTCTCCTCTGCCCACCCCACCAGGGTTGACTGTGAGGGGTTCCAGGAGGCCAGGTACGGGAGGTAGATCATGCCCTTTGAGTCGACGTGCTTGTGGCGCGGCTTGATGGCCATGTTGGCTGTGGGCGAGACGAAGCACCGCGGGCCTGAGTTTGGGTAGGGGGGGTCGAGGTAGATGGTCACGGGGATGTTGTACTGGGCGCCGTTGTAGTAGATGGGGATCGTGCCGTACAGGTAGAAGAGCTTGATGGAACGACCCTGGTTACCTGATGGATGGTAGTTGTAAGGGGAGGAAAGATTCACACACGTAGGTGTGGAGGCTCTGGCGTGTTGTGTGCATGGTGCTGTGCTGGCGTAAGTACTGAAGTCGCCCACACTGGGCCTGAGAGAGGTGACTTGCGACATGAGCTGCTGGACGTCCCTCTTGACGCGGTGGAGGTTGCTGTAGAAGCCTATCTGGTTCCATAGCTGGTTGTACTGATACATGCTGCCGACCACAGCCCACGAATGGCTCCACACGCCTCTGCTGACTGCTCGAGGGAAACGTTCACGAACCAAGAAGAGCGATCTCGCCGAAATATGTGACAAGGGCCATAGCACTATCCTGCCCTTATCGCTTTTGCCTGTCCGAATTCCAAACGGACGAGGCGATCCCTCGTAGCTCGCGGACGCAAGCTAAGGTCGCGCTTTTGTTTTTTCTGAGCCTTGCAGCGCCCCTGCAGCTCCTGCAGTGCACTTTCCAGCTTGATCTACCGTCGCTGACATCTTTCTGCCGTTGGCCCCAGAGCAACCACTTCTGTGACTGACTTCCGATGGCGTCCCAACCTCCCGGTCATCATCTCACTCAGCAGCCCTCTCGTCATGAGCCCACGACCACTCCTCCCCCCTTCCCATCCCTGGTGACACTCGCAATCAAGAAGGCCGCTCACATGGCCAAGTCGGATGAACGGCAACGCGACGAGCTCCGCTCGCAGATCATCAACAGCTCTATCGCTGATGTGGAGGTGATGCTGGGGCTCGTCAAGCAGCACATACAGGAGGCGATGAGCCGTCTTGGCCTCGAGGATGTCTTGACCTTCACGGTTTGTGACCTGGAGGGCGCCTGGGAGGTGGCCTATTTGCTGGAGCAGGACAGCGGCACGTGGCGGCTCATTGGGCAATTCATCCGCCTGGCGGCCATCTTTCGGCTGACCCCAGCCACCGGGCTGCCCCTGCGCGTATCGTCAGAATCCCTTCCCAGACAGTCGGCCTTGCACCCGCCCCTCGCAATCGTCATCTATCAGCTGTTCTCGCATCAGCTGACGGTCAATGGACAGAGGCTTTCCCTGGAGCCAGGGGTCATATCTCCGCTGACGAGATGGACGCTTCAAGTGAAAGCGTTGCTTGGCGACTCTCAGCCAACCAACAAAGGAGGGGCGTATCGGATCGGCGAGATGTTCTCGCTTCGGGCGGTTCTTTACGGGGAGTTGCCTGCCGGCCATCCCTATTCTGCCACCTACAAGGAGACTGACCCGCCAATCCGCTGCGGACCCTGGCTTTGTGCCTCCTTCACGGCGTTTCTCCTTTGCTGCCTGGGTACGTGCTGGTCTGGAGAGGCGGCAGTGAGCAAGGAGAAAGTGCTGCATGCGCACATCGGCGACATGGATCCTCGCTATGAGAGGCTGCTCACTGACGACATCCCCGAGCAGCAGGGCGTCTCAGTGGACTAGCGGCATGACGGAGGGAACCTGAATGCAACACATCCATCGGCCCATCGTATTGTGCTCGTGAGCGGCTTTCGACCTCACGAGACTTTCACCGCCCACGTGTCAGTGGCCGGCGAATCCATCGATCTGTACACCACCGAGTCCCGTGCTATTGCTCCATCAAGGCGCCACTTTAGTGTTTCCATTCCCATGTCGCTACACGAGTGGCGCGTTGCAGTGTGGAACGGTTTTCCAGCGTCGATGCCGAAGTGGCGAGGGGTGTGAAGGGAATTTGGCTTGAAGCAGCAGGTCATCGAGAGAGGGACAGTGATGTTGAGAGGCCATTATTGGTTCTGATTAGCTGGGCTGTCGCTAGGGCGTAAGCTGTGTGGTGAGGCAACTCGATCTCGAGAGTAATGTTATTGACGGGGGGACGGTGCTGGTGTGATGGTGTGAGGTTCGCCGAGCAGCCGCTAGGGGATTGGGTGTTTGTTCTGTGTCACGACACGACCGAATGCCGAATGAGCTGTCATGATTGTTGGTCTCTCTCGTCGATGCTTAGTGTGTCCAGCTTTCTGACTAGTACTCGATGTGTTTTTTTTCCGCCAAGAGCTACGATGACGTCAAAGTCGGATGTGTGCTGGGGGGATGTGTGGGTGGAGTGTTATCGGACAGGCTGGGGGATCGCATCGAATGCGTGACGCACTGGTTGCGTTGCTAATATGGTGAGAAGACAAAGTCAGGCAGTGACGTCAACATACACAAGCAAGTCAGCACTATGAATGTGGTTCATACGCTTCCCGATGTCTGTCTGCCTGCCTGAGACAACGAAGCAGAAGAGCACACGACATCACAACACAGCACATAACTGATCACATCACTGCAGGTTTGGGGTGGTGGTTTTGCTGGATTGCTGCTGTGTGTGTGTCATCGATCTGATCTGATGTGGTGCGTCTAGGGGAGGCTGGCCTGCGCTCTGTGGCTGGGGGTGAGCATGAGTGCGCGTATGAATAGATATCTGTGGACACGGACAGTTGGATTGGACTGGATGTGAGTGAATTCGCCCACCGTCAGTCAGTCAGTGTATCATGTTCACACATGACCACTCATTCTCACACATGGCCGGACGACGTGGACATGTACATGTACAGATGTCGGCAGACGACACCGCGCCTGTCCATCCCATCTACTCACATGTCGCTGCAAAAAGTGAGCCCTCCACCATCAGCCTACACACCGCTGCCAGCTTCTCCACTGCCAGCACCACGAGTCTACGAATCAACTCACCTGTACACACACAGACACACACACACACACCCCGAGAGAGAGAGAGACGCACCAGTGCCATCCGGGCACTCAAGGCATGCCCCTTGTGTGCATGTGAATGTCCCTTCACCACCGCGGCTCACTCGTATGTGTTTCCTCTACTGTGGTATCATGTGGGCGAGGCCGTGTTTCGTCAACAGGGTGCGGGTCAATGACATCGCGATGGGGAATCGGCCAGACAGCCGCGTGTGGCCCTCGATGGCCGCTTCGGTCGTGTAGAGGAAGATGAAGCTGCCACCAAGCCACAGGTTGACGGAGATGGTGTCGCCCTCCTCTGTGCCGTTGAGGATGATAAATCGCCGCCGCCCAGCATCCCCCACCTCAGTGTAGTCGATGGTGGTGTGGCCGTCTATGGGGTCCGTCAGCAGCGACCGATACCGCTCATCGCCATCGCCTACTTCCCCCTCGAATACCTTCTTCTCGCCCACCCCCTCTTGCTGATACCAGTACCACAACACTATCCACTTCATGAAGGTCGTGAATGAGGGCAAGAGTAAGCGAGCGTGGCGGATGGGCGGGTTGTGGGGGTCGTATGTGCGGCGGTAGGGATGGCGGGGAGGGAGGGCGGACTTGCGCACCGTCTCGAACTGCCACTTGTGCTGGCCGCTTCCGATGGTATACCGCTGCCGTGTCACCCCACCGTCCCCCTCTCCATCCCCCCTCTCGGCATCCTTTTTGCCCTCATCGCCATCATCGACCTCATCCACCTTTGTGAGCGCCAGGCTGGTGCCCTTGTAGTTGAGAAGGTGGCCGAATGTGCTGTACTGGCGAAGGGCGAGGGGCATGGTGTGGAAGTCGGCCTTGGTGGGCAGGTGGGCCGCCATCCACTGGGGCGACATGATCAGCGGCAGGCCAGTCGACGGCGTCAGCTTGTAGATGTCAGCCAGCCGGATGAAGTCGGGCCACTCACACCACAGCGCACCGCCATGCTCCAGTACATAGCAGCACTGGGACAGGTAGCAGAAATGCGACACATGAGGGCCACCACCACCAGCTGCAGGGGCCGGTGCGTCACTGCTACTGGTGGTGGGATGGGCAGGGGTGGGTGCCGCAGCATTGGCTGTGTCTGCTGCTGTCCGGTTCACGTCGATGAGGCCGGTCAGCGAGTGGCGGCTGAGGTGCGTGTCGATGCGACGCTGCACGAAGGCCTCATTGACGAGTTGGCTGCCGTGTGCCCTGCTGATGGGGCGGGACGAGCAGACGGCCTCATCGATCGGCAGGCACCGGTAGATGACGTCGCGGCAGACATCAGGCGGCAGGCCGTCGGCCGAGTCGGCGGGCGGGGGCGGCTTGGCCCAGCCGATGGGCCGAATGGTGCCCTTGACGCCACCCTTGACGTCATGCCGCGCATCTTTAGCCGACGAGAGAGCGGCGAAGACGCTCACCCACTTATCGGCGAGAAAGGGCGTCTGCACCGAACACACAGACAACCAGGGAGAGAGTGACGGCTGCAGTACTCTCTCGTGTGTGTGTGTGTGTGTGTGTGTGGTTGACCTGTGCGGCGACTGTGGTGTTGAAGAGCTGCTGCACACCGGCAGCCTCTCGTGTGACCTGCAGGCACCGCACACACACACACAGTGGATGAGAGCACACCAGCAGTGAGGCCATTTGGCCTCTCATGCGCCACTTGCCTGTTCTATTGTGTGTGCAGCGATGCGATGCGCTCCTCTAGACGAACCAAACCCTCACTGATGGACTGCAATACACACACACAATCAGCACGATGAATGGACGTGTGTGCGCTCTCTCGAGTGAATGCGTTCGCTTGTCGTGCTGTGTTTGCTCTCTGGCCTGCTTGAGTTCGCTTCTCGATTGATGCTTACCGGTGTGTTCTCATTTGCAGCGGCCGAGTCGACGCCTTGTGTGCGGGGACGCTTCGGCTCTCCTTCGACACTCATGCTGGAGAACCCGAGCTACTCTCACGTGAACATCACGCGGAATGAGTGCGAGATCAAAGCAATCGTCGAGACCTTTTCCTCACAAAAAAAGGACTCTCTGCGAATTGTGTTTCGGAATTTTGACAGCTCCGAGTTTCTGTTCCTAAGCCCCAGATCAATCAACGTACCGCGCCCCGCCCCTCATTCCCCTGAGTTGATTTCATCATGAGTGGCCCGGCCCCACCGGGCTCATCCCCTCTGGCAGCGGCCTTTCAGGCCGCCGGCGAACCGGTCAGTGTGCGGGACGCACTGGCCATGGGCGGACAGCAGCAACAAGGTGAGGCAAGTGGAGAGGGAGAGGCGGGAAGGAGCAGAAGAGACACATGCACGAGGGTCAGAAGGGAAGACCCTTCTTGGGGCTGAGGGGCTCTGTGTTATGTCTATCGTCTCGTCAGGTGGTGAGGGGGAGATGACACAGTC